GCTTCCAGAAGAGATCAGATGTGCTAAAACATTAGTCACATTTAAATCTAGACTCAAAACTCATCTGTTTAGCTGTGCATTTATTGAATGAGTATTTTATGCAACCCAAAATGATTGCACTGTATTTTATGTATAACCATGTTCTATTTTTAACTGTCTTAAATTCATTTTAAATCAATTTTTAAATCATTTTCAAAGTTTTTAAATTCCTTTTTATTTTTGTGATTAATTTTTTTGATTATTTTACTTTCTTTTATGTAAAGCACTTTGAATTACCATTGTGTACGAAATGTGCTATATAAATAAACTTGCCTTGCCTTGCCATGCATGTTTACCTGTCAGAGCTTCTCTATAAGCTAAGAAATCAATCAGTCCAACAGGTCAGTGGTATAATCCACTGCTTCATAGTGAATCACATAATTAGTATGATAATGAACAAAAGCATCTTCATATGAGTCATCTATAATCAGCACCTTAATATAACCCAAAGGGGCCAGCGTGTTCATGAAGACGTGACTCCAGGAGTCCTCAAAGGCCAAATCTGTGACAAACTTGAGAGGTGCAGCCTTCACCTCCTGCAGCCTGAACAGGAGCAGCATCACAGATGTTTGGACACGGAGGTGAGATAACTGTCATTATTTACATTATGGTGTGTCTCTTGATTCAAATATTGAAACTCACCCGATCACATAGAGGTCGGGTTTCTTCGGGGAGCTGAGCTGAAGCAGAGAGTTCACATCATCAGGAGGCTCAGCTGTGGCCACATTCCACGTGACGACGTACAGCCTGTGGGTAAAAGAAAGAAAGATTCAGTTCAATAAAATAACAGTTCTGCGTGTGTAACTCCTGTCCTTACAGAACTCCTCAGATTAACAATAACACCATTTCAACTAATCACCCAAGAAATTCTAAGCATATCACACTGCAGCTTAAACAGCTCAATCCATTTAACCATTTTTAAGAACTACTAAGGTTTAAAATGTCTCTTCCCCTGAAGTTCATTAACTCTTATGGACACTTATGTTCATTTCTCTGGATCAACAGATAAAAAGGTGTTCAGTCGCCACAAAACCAAGCTCGACACCTGCAGTCAGGTTTAGATCTGCCAGACAAGACAACAAGAGAAGTGAAAGACAAAACCTGAATTGGTCTTTCTTAGGTCGGCCCGCAATCTGCCTGCAGACGAGAAAAGCCTCATCTAATGTTTTAGCCACCTGGGCGTGGAGTTTATCATCAGGGTCCAGATCGTCCACGCATGTCATGAGCATAGCCAGAGGCTGTCGCACATACAGACGGCTGCTGGTGGATTCTGTGCCGGTGCTGGCCACGCTGTCAGAGCGTGATCGCAGGTTTTCGCAAAAATATTCAGATATTTCCTCCATGCTGAGCGACAGTGGCTGGTCACGTGAAAATGGCCCGAGTGTTATAGCGTGCCTTGATAGATATTTAGTCTTGAGTTCCGGGGAAGCAAAGCCAGTTGTTCCAATAATTAATAATACAGTAAAGTGTGTGATATAGGCTGCAGGGGGAGTAAAAGGAGGCTGTAGTGTAGGCGGACTTTTAGATTTAAAGATTAAAACCCTAATCTGGTTTAACAAGGGCCTATGTGGCCCACCCAACACATTCAATCTAAACTACAATAGTGACCCTCAATATGCCATTTACACAATACACTGGATAAAATATTTCTCTGACATCAATTCTTATTTCTGATCTTTTCATGCTATTATTTATTTAATGTATTTAATCATATATATATATA